TTCTCCACATTAAACTGTACTGTGACATCAGGGATCATCTCTGTGATGCTCATCTCTGGAACCTAGGGGCTTGCCCCAGGCAGTGGCTAACACTGGTAACATCCAATTAATAATTGCTGAATGAATTAAAAAACTGTAAGCCATTGACTGGTTAACAAGGGACACACCATTAACACTCCCATTTTTCATATGTGGAAACAGAGTTCTAAAGAGGGGAAGTGAGGGGCCCAAGAGGACTGACTTACCTACCCTTCTAATCTGGGTACCTAAACTCAGACCAGGTGAAGTTTATGGTCTTGGGCACCTCTCTTTTGGCCCAGGTATAATCCATCACTTTCAACAAATTGTTTTTGGAGTCTTGCAGTAAGGGATGCTGAGAGAAATGGCCAAGCAAAACTCACCATTTTATTTCTTACAGCAATATTCTGAAGTAGACAAGTAGTAGCCTGCTTATAAAGACTGAGAGATTTCTTAGTCCTCGGTGCTGGGAACTGCTAACTAATTCTGAGTAACTGCTGGGATTTTGTTGGTTTTGTGTTTTGTTTGTGGTTTTTAGGGGGGTTGTTTGTTTTTATTTTTAAGCAGACTTTATTTTTTAGAAACACTTCAGGTTCACAGCAAAACTGAGAGGAGGGTATAGAGATTTCCAATACTAGCCACTGTCCACACATGTGCACAGCGCCCCTGCCCCACCCCCGCCATTTCTTTCGCCTCTCACTGGAGTGGTGCACTGGACAATTCTGCACTGACACGTCATGATGGTTCGGAGCCCACACTTATGTTAGGGTTCACGCTTGGTGGTGTGTATTCTACCGGTTTGGACAAAAGTACAATGACATGTATGTCCCATTAGTATGGTGCAGAGTTTCACTGCCCTAAAAATCCTCTGTTCTCTATCTATTCCTCCCACCCCCCAACCCCAACCCACCAGAGTACCACTGATCTTTGTACTGTCTCCACAGTTCTGTTTTCTCTCATAATGCCATACAGTGTGTAGCCTCTTCAAATTAGCTTCTTTCACTTAGTAATACATATCTAAATTTCCTCCATGTCTTTTCATGGCTTCATAAATCTTTTTTTTTAAGTACTGAATGCACTACACTTCATTTATCCATTCATCCCCATTTGGACATCTTGGTCACTTCCAAGTTTTGGCAATTATGAGTAAAGCTGATGTTAATATGTGCGTGCAGGTGTTTGGGTGGATGTAAGTCTTCAGCCCCTTTGGATGAATCCCAAGCGGTATGGTTCCTGCATCCTCTAAGAGCAGGTTTAGTTTTGTAGGACTGGGGGATTTCCATCTACGGCCAGTGCACAGGGTGCAGCTGATTGCAGTTCCCTTTCTGCTTTGCCCACTGGAAAGCCAAGGCCAACTTGGAAGGCCAGTGTTAATCATTGTGTATCAATGTGTGCTTTTCACTTCTGGCACTTTATAATTCGGCCTTTCATATGTTTTTATTTTTTACTCTTAACTGCATTTTGTTATGCTGTTATGTGTTGTTACACACCATCTTTATTTTTGTCAATTGGAAACAAGAATCTAATAATTCCCATGGAGGCACAGTTTGGGGGGGTGGTTAAGAGGCTGAGAGACCTTGGTTCAAATGCCAGCTCTAGCTCCACTCCCTACTAGTTCTATGATCTTAGGTTACTTAAACTCAGTTTCTTCATCTATGAAATGGTATAACAATTCCTACCTCAAGGAATTGATGCCAGATTCAAGGAAATGATCTACGCAAACACCTACCCCAGAGCCCCAGGTACACAGTACACACCGTCTTACCCCTTTTTCCTTCTGCCACACCCACCCCTCCTGGCTGGTACTCTCCCTCTGCACTCTATAGGACAGTCTCTCAACCTCCGCACTATTGACAGTTTGGGGCAGATGATTCTTTGCCATGGAGGTTGTCCTGTGTATTGTAAGATGTTTAGCAGCACCTCTGGGCTCTACCAATGAGATGCCAGTAGCACCCTCTCCATTATGGAAACAGTAAAATGTCTCCAGACGATGCCAAAGGTTCCACAGGGGCCACGACACTCCCAGCTGAGAAGCAGCGGCTGCAGGACCTCCTGCTGTCATTGGTTGTTGGGGAGCCTCTTCTCCCAGGTAATTCTCTGGGTCCGATCACATCAACTCAAACCAATACACATGCTGTTGGGTTCTTTTATCCCTTAAATGCACATTTAGTGGCTCACTTAGAATCCTGTTCTTCACTGGCCAAGGAGTAAAGATTTATTGAGCACCAGCTATGGCTTTTGCCCTTGCTGGTTAACTGGAGTCTTACATGCAAACGACTAGACACATCCCAGTGATTTGAAAGCCTACACACCCTGAGGCCTGTAGTATACTTTTGGGGTGAAAATGCAAGACACACACTTTGACATATAATTCTCTTGTGGGGGTATGGGATTTGTGTAAAATGTTATAAATGTATAACAATAAAGTGGTAAGTAGGTACAAATTTAATGAATTATTCTTTTGAAAGGCATAAATTAGAAAATGCTTAGAAAAACTAGACTCTAGGCAATGGTCAGAGCAAGGACTGATTAATTTTTCTAGAAATAGGCAGATAACCCGATTCATACTGAAGCAGTGATGACTGATGCGAGGTTAAAGTGATGTTCCTTCCTGACAGCATTCACACTTTACGGCGGGGCCTTAATGTGCTAAGTGGAAAAGCGTGAATAATACAGGGAAGACACTTGTAGAAATGGAACCTGAACATTCTCTGTAAACAAACAAATCTATGGGAGGGACAGCAAGGCAGGGAATGTTCCCTCTAATAAGGAAAAACACACATTAAAACCGAACTGAACCGAACAAACAGAAAAGAGTTGTGGGTCCCTGAGGATCTTGGGGATTTTTGCCATGACCAGCGCTGGAGCAGAAGGAACTTGGATAGAGCCAAACAAGATTTGGAGGGAGATTTCTAAGACTAATGGCGATGATAGGAGTTGTATGAGTTAGTGATAGATGAGAAAAAATTTTGGCAGTATTCCTCCTAATTTTTATTAAAAAATAAATCAAGGAAACGTGACTTTGGCAAAACTTCCCTCCCTGCACTTTCTGTTTTGTGTTCCTGACTACTCACTCTCACGTAAATGAAGTTGCCCCTTAAGTGGACAGTAATTTAGAGTTTACTAAATTCATTGTGTTTATCAGGCTTAGTGCTGTAGCCACTCAGTGTTTAATTGTGAAAGTCTCCTGTCTACTACTGTGCTTTATAAACGCCCCATTTCTAAATCCATGTACACTCAAATACATTGTGTGTTCATGTGAGCTGTTTTTTCCCCTTTATTGGTAAGATTATGGAGGGTTTTGAAGGTGGAAAGAGAATAAGAGAGAAGACAAACTGTTTTTCAAGAAAGGCCTGGCATTGATGTTCTTCCTTCAAGGGGTACCACTGAAGTTACAAAAGACTTACTCTACCTGTATACAAATCTGTTTGCCTTCAAGCCCAAACAGCTGTATAATCCAATATAGGCACTAGGTGAGAAGGCACTAATACAAACCAGAAATTCATTCTCCTTGTGTTTTCTAAAGCTCAACTTCGTACAGTCCCATGAAAAACACAAAGATACTTCCCCAGTGTGCATAATAGGGTCATTTTAAGGACACACGAGTTGGACTTCTTTCTCCTGGCATCTATTCAGGACAGCTAACAAAAGTCGTTTGTCTCTTACCTTCTGATCACCCCCCGCTGTCCACTCCCCCCCAACAAATCCCTAGCAAATTCCACTTGTTGAGTGTTCTCCTATTAGCATAGTGGTGTGTTTTAATTTGAAGAAGCAGCATGTGTTTCCTATAAGAAAGTTGTTTTAGGTCTTTAAATGTCTCTGTCAAACACTTTCTTTTTGTTTGGAGAAATAATTAGAGATCAGTACTGTTGAAACCAAAACATCAGAGCAATTGCCTGTCCCAGTGTTTCTAATTTGGTGGATGTCTGCTCAGTGAATGACAAAGTTTAGCTTCGCCATGCCAAGAAAAACACATCCAGTTTGACCATTGTAAATGCTGACTTGGTTATGAGGGATGACAGTCCCTGCTCGTTGGTTATTTTCTTCGTCTCCTAGTGAAAGAACTCTTTCTGCAAGGGCAGATACCAGGTGAAACAGGCTGTCAACCATGATTGTCTTTGGATGCTCTTTCCCCTTTTAGGAGGCATCTCAAATTGGCCCATAGACACTCAGGACCAGCATAGTTGACATCTTAGCTGGCGTCTCCTCTCTAAACATTTCACCCTAGATTTTTTTCCAATCCCAAATATGGTCTGGTTTTGTCATAACCATTGTGACTTGACTGGCTAAAGTGACAAATATGAAGGGGGACCCTAAAAAATGCAATTACCTTCTAGAAAGTGGGCCTCTTGTAGTACAGGCTTCCCCTGCTAGGTGAGTGTTCTAGGAACCCATCTGTATCAGTGGTACCAGCTGGTGGTGTTGTGAGAGGCTGTGTTTGGCTTCAGTGAATTTTTTTGAAGACTCAACATGTTTGTCTATTTTGTGATGGATGATTTACAAGCACACCTGCCCACACTGCGCTGAGTGCTCAGCAGTTTTTAACCAAACAGTGGCAATGACCCTCATGCCCCACCCTCCCTATTCATCTGATCTCAGCCTGAGTGACTTTTGTTGTTTTTCCAGATGAAAAAAGAACTCAAAGGGGAAACGTCTTGCTTATGTGAAAGAGATGAAACAAAAAATGGCAGAAGCACTAAAAGGCTTCAAAATCAAGTTCAAAAACCATTTTGAGCAGTGGATAAAATTGTCTCAATAGGTATATTGCATCAAAAGGAGAGTACTTTGAAGGTGACCAAAGTTTAAACCTGTAAGAATCAATACACAATTGTTTATAAATTTCATTTTTGGGGGTCTCTCCTCATACATGATTTTGGAAGACCTGTCCATAGTAGCGTTTAATTGGTTGCCTGTTCATGTAATAAAGCTGATATGGATGTGCACCAGCACACACACATATAACATATAAAGCTTTATTTGGAGCATAGAGAATAGTACAGAGCAGAAATAAAAATCAGTCATAATCACAACACTGGGTGTGTATTAGTGCAGAGAGTGTATGTAGTGGTGGAGTGGGTGGTGACCTAGGCCTTCCAGCCCGGCTTCTCCCAGCATAGTGTCTGTCCTGTGTGATGTTTCATATGCTGGAATCTCAAGTGAGAGTTCATGGCAGGAAAGTTTCTGTTGCTGAAAAACACGGAAGTTGAAAAACCACTTCAGAATCATACAACAAAATAACTAGACTGTAAGATGAACAACTCAGAACTATAGACATCACCACAAATGCATCTTTGTACAATTCCACTTACAGAAAATATAGAATCAGGCAAACCAAGCAGATGTTGTTAGAGGTTAAGGTAGTGGTTGTAGACGCTTGGGTATATGATTAGAAGGGAATGGTGAGGTGCGGTGCTTCTGGGGTCTGGAAATCTTCCACCTCTTGACCGCAGTCCTGGTTACACAGGTGTGTTCACTTTATGAGATGTGATTGAGTGACACTTATGTGTGTACTTGTCATATGTCTATTTCACTTCAATCAAAAATGTAAACATACACACACAGCTGAAGATCAGCTGCTAAGAAGGTAGGATGGCCTGGATTCTGGACGTCTGCTGAGATGAGGAAGGCAGAGAGAAGTGCACAGGTGTGGTAGGCTTTACAACATGCATGACCCTCAGGTGTGTTCTTGAATGGGGCCGCCATGTTTGCCCTCTGCATTGAACCTCTGACATGTCCCAGTCTCTGAGGTCCGTTCTCATTCATACTTTTGAATCTCTAACACGTGTCTTTAAGGTCCACAGAAGATGTTCAACAAACATGTCTTAATCCTTGGTTATGCGCTAGGCAAATAAGACATTCAAGTAGATAAAAAACATAAGCCTCCACTTAAAAATCTTTAAGTGGAGGCATTAAAAATTCTGGTTTATTAAAGCAACGATTTGGGAATTAGCCTAAATGTCCAACAGTATGGGATTGTTAAATTAGCTTAGATCCATAGTGATATACTAACAGTCATTAGAAATAATGTTTCATAACATTTTTATAGCATGTAGAATGTTCCCAGTATGAGTGGAGAGAGAGCAGGTGAGAAAATGTTTTAAAATGTGAGAGCCTGGTGTAGCCTTGAACAACACTGGTTGGAACTGCATGGGTCCACTTACATGTAGATTTTTCTTTTCTTTTTTATTTGAAGTATATTTTGTTTATATCTCCTTTTCTCCCTAAGTCTGGAACTGTCTTTCTCAGAGCTAGTTTTTAATATTCTTCATAATGTATCAGTGTTTTCTTTCTTTTGTTGTTGTCATTGTTGTTCAAGAACAGTTGTCTCTGTTTTTCCGCCACCACTTCCCCCAACCCACCCACCCCCACCTCCCACCCTCAAACATCCTCCCTTTGGCTTTGTCCATATGTCCTTTATACATGTTCCTTGATGACCCGTCCCCTTCTACCCTCATTATCCTTCTCCCTCCCCTCTGGTTACTGTCCATTTGTTCCTTATTTCAATGTCTTTGGTTATATTTTGCTTGCTTATTGGTTTTGCTGATTAGGTTTCATTTATATGTGAGATCATATAGTATTTGTCTTTTACCATCTGGCTTATTTCACTTAGCATAATGCTCTCCAGTTCCATCCATGCTGTCACGAGGGGTAGGAGCTCCTTTTTCTGCTATGTAGTACTCCATTGTGTAGATGTACCACAGCCACTGTGGAAACAGTATGGAATTTCCTCAAAAAATAAAAAATGGAACTGCCTTTTGACCCCTGAATTTCACTGCTGGGATCATATCCTAAGAATCCTGAAACACGAATTCAAAAGAACCTATGCACCTCAATGTTCATAGCAGCACAATCTACAATAGCCAAGTGCTGGAAGCAACCTAGGTGCCCATCAGTAAAAGAGTGGTTCAAGCCCTGGCTGGTGTAGCTCAGTGGATTGAGTGCAGGTCTGAGAACCAGAGGATCATGGTTCAATTCCCAGTCAGGGCACATGCCTGGGTTGCAAGCCAGTTCCCTGCAGGCCAGTTCCCAGCAGGGGACACACTAGAGGCAACCATACATTGATATTTCCCTCTCTCCTTCCCTTCCCCTCTAAAGATAGATAAATAAATATTTTTTAAATGTTGATTTAAAAAATAAGTGGATCAAAAAACTGGGGTACATTTGCACAATGGAATATATGTAGATTTTTTCAATAAATACCTATACTGTTTGGATCCAGGGTTAGGAGTCCATGATTGTGGAAGGCTACCTATATGTATTAACCTACATCCTTTTATACAGAGTACTTGGGCATCTGTGGATTTTGATATCTACAGGGGTTCCTGGAACCAATCCCCCAACACTGAGAGACAACTTAATTGTTGGAGGAGTCAAAAGTTATATGAGGATTTTGGACTGGGGGTTTGGGGTGGTACCCCTAACTCCCATGTTGTATAGCAAAAAACAAAAACAAAAAACTTGGAAGAATGTGCACTGAAATGTTGTTATCTGGACATGAGGCTGTGGGTAATTGGTATCTACTTTCTTATGTGAATTTGCTCAACATTTAATCTGGGACATTTTTTTTTGTGTGTGTATAGTAAAGAAAAAAATTTCTTTGAAAAAAATAATGGCCCTTTAGTCTAGGAAAGGAAAACATAATTTAAACACAAAAAAGACAAATTCACTTTCCAGGGAATATGTAAGTACTGACACTACAGTAAATCATGTGGACACAAAGAAGGAGCCCAAACTAACCAGTCACCAGAGAGGCTGGGACGTGAGCTGAGCTGGAACTGGAACATCAACGACCCTGGTGTTCAGGCTCACGGCGGACTGGCATTCTGACTGCTTCGTTGGAGTATTCCGTCGCTGCCCCGCAACAGTCTCCTGATGTGTGGGTGATGGCATTTCTCCATTCTTCTTTAGATGAGAACCTTTTGGCACAGAGAAAACAACCTGTCCTAGACCCCGTGTCTAGTGAGCTTCACAACCAGTATGAGCAGAACCCACAATTCGTCTGATTCTGAGGACTCTGCTCTCCCCATCATGCCTTCTTCCTTAGAAGTAGAAGCAAAATTCAAAAAGGTTCCTTTTCTTTGTTCTCAGTCAGTGTGTGTGTTTGGGGGTGGGGGAAGGTGGTGGTGACAAAAATGGAACCACTCAGGCAAATAGCATTTCCTCCATCTAATAGCCTTTTTGCCTGATATTAAGTTACGGGTCAGGAAAAATGGAAAAGTTCTTTCTCTGTCTAATTCAGCATAGGAAATCATTATGCGGAGGCTCTGTTGCCTCTTTCAGAATCAAATGTAATGTGACACTTCGGGTTTAACTTTTAGAAGTGCACAGCCACAGTTTCTGGGTTTGTTGATACAGATTGACTTCCACGTCATCTGCACTCGGTTCCCGATCTGAGATGCTTGCCTCCCAAATGGCCTGGAGTTTATCCCCCACATTTCGATAAGCGTGTTTCTCAGATACTTTGCTGGAACCACAAGTGGAAGGATCTTTAAAGAGGTGCGATGAGTTTATGCAGGTGGTAAATCTTAAGTCGTCAAAAAATGAGTTCTTTACCACTCTGAAGTGGACATGGAGAGCGTGAGAGGTATATACAATGCATTTGCTCTTTTGCATCACCCAGCTTGAGAAAAGAATCAGAATTTGGAGCTTTATTGGACCAGTAGTGTATTAGACCGGTTCAGACGTTAGATCCCAATTTGTGTTTAAGGATAAACTGTCAGTTCTATTGCATTTCCAAGGAACCTCTCATATATGTTAGGCCAGGATGACACTCTGTGTGCCTTTTGTTTACTAAATTGCAGTGTCAGGATAATAAATGCTGTGGTTGGAGTACGTGTGTGCTCCATTTCTCTCAGGGATTTCTGGACTTCAAGGGCTTTCCTCTTCAACATTGCAGATAAAACACTACATCACACTTCTTTAGTGAAAGAGACACTTTCTCCTTCAAGATGCCTGTTCAGCTGTTCCACAGCTGAAGAGCTGGGAAGACTTAAATTACATTCTTTTTCCTGCCATTAAAAGGGGGTGGAGGGGGGGAGGAGGGGAGACAAGACTTGCATCTGGTTCAATTTCTTTGCCAAATTCTTCATTTAATTGTTTTGTAATTTGAAGAAAACCACAAATGACAAGATGAAATTGCTAGGAATATAAATACCGAATTTAATTGTTCATGTCAGGATTTCAATTCCCAAACCATGGTAATCTGAGTCACAGTTTTCAGACCAACAAACAAGAAAAGCACTGGAGGCAGCCGCTGAGTTTGCCGAGCCCCCATGATATCCTGTCTCCCCCGGCTTCCCCCCGCCCCCAGCCAAGTTCACATGATGTTCTGCAATCAGAAAGAGAGAAGGAAGAAGGAAATGTACTCCTCTTACCTCTGTGGATTTACTCCCAACAGCTGGGATCCAAGAAATATTTCCTCAAAAAAACCCACCCCATCACAATCCAAAATAAATAGCACCTAAATGCCGAGCACTTGCTGATGAGCCTGTACAAGTTCAGAGCCTCCTTGATAGCAATGGGGTTTCTGCTAAAGAGGTGCCTTTGCTTTGCTTTATGACATCATTTTTCCTGGACCAAGAGGCAACTTAGCCTATTTGGGGTTATTCTGAATTTCACATTAGGAAATGTGTGTTACTTCCAGAAAAAGCTGAGTTTTTTGTCTTGTCTGCTGCCTGGAATAGTGTTGCAAACTACAGTACATGCTTAATCAATATCTGTTGAATAAATCTGATGAGCAAATGCACAATAGAATGAGTCCTAGGATTTTATAAAGCAGACAAGCTCCTCAATACTCAATTACGTGATCTTTTCAAGTCTTCTGTATTCACCAAATACTAGCTTACAAGATCTGTATCTCATTCCTTTGAAACTCTGGTTTTGACTACATTAAAATCTAACGAAGTAATTGAGACTAAGATGCTATACTTAGAATGTTTTAAATTGCCATCCAATCCAGATAATTTGCTCTTTACCAGCCTGATTACAGTCAGAAATCTGTGGGCCTGTCCTAGAGTCAAAGGGAGACTGTGCTGCGGGTGGGCAAACCTCTGCAAGTCTTCGGGCCAATTGATTGCTTTCTTTGACTCTGAACCTTGAAAGCAGGGATTTGTTTCTCATCTCATTTCAAGGAGCTATTTTATAAGATAGTTTGTGGGAGTGATTGGTTATGTTATGCAGTGAAGCAATTTTAACTCCTTTTGTATAGACATATTCATAAAGTCATAGAACAAAAAATGAAATGGGTCACGAGAGAAAAATCTAGAGCTACTGAAGTCATGCGCACGACTAGGAAAATATACTATGAAAGGTACTTATTTATCCAGAAGATCTTTTGTGAGATCTTAGAGGAAAGGGAATTGTATATACATATGTTAAAATACTATTTTTTTCAATAACAGATAATAGACATGACACATTACTTTAAAAGATAATGGAAGAGTCTTAAAATATATATAAATACTTCTTTGCCCCTAAGAAAACTACATTCACATTTTTCTTTCTCATAATAGTGAAAAAAATCCAGATAAATATTAGTTATCCATTCAATGTACTTCATGGTAGTGGTCCTCAGTTGTATGTATATTGAATCCCACCAATCTATCAAAAATCTTGGTTTCATCATGATAGGGGAAAAAATATCTTTTTTTTTCATTAGTAAGAAAATTTCTATGTTGATAGCTGTCCTGTCATGTTTCTCACAAACTTTTAAGAATATCAAATATTAAAATTAATTGTGTAGTTCTGGCTTTAATACTCAAATAAATGAAAATATGACCAGAGGGGAGGGAATTTCAGGAAAAAAGGGGAAGGATTCAGAGGAACAAGTATAAAGGACACATGGACAAAAACTAAGGCGGGAGGGATTGGGAGGGAGGTGGGGAGCACTGGGGGGGTGGACTGGGATGGGAGTAAAAGACAGAAAACTGTACTTGAACAATAAATTTAAAAAATAATGGTATTATATGTTCTTGGGTTGCACCTTTAATACCTTCAAAGATTTTCTTTAAATTTCATTATGTGGGTTGTATATGATGATACTAGTTTAGTAGTTAAGTCAAAGGTTACAAACTTTGATGAGTGACCACCTTTTTGCTTCTCAGTTCATCCCTTTATACCACTGTATTGGGAACCAGTGCTGTGAAAGATGTTGTCAACAGCTCCTCCATGAAGCCTTTCCAGATTAAACCCATTAACCAGGCTTCCCTGGGCAGTCTTCAGATAGAGAAAACGAACTGGTTAATCTTTGGGGGTACACTTCTCTGGTAGAGCAGTAGTCATTCTGAAGTGTCTTCATCTCCACAGAGCCATCTACTCCCATATTATTTTGGAAACTGCCCGCTCCTTTCTATTTCCATAGACACGGACCCAAGAGCCATTTCTGTGATGAACGACTATACCCTCACTGTCAGATTGGGTCGAAGCTAGGTACAACATAAACAAGGTCAAACAATTCTCTTTTCTAGAAATCTGTAACTACCATCAAGAGAAAAGAGAGTCAGGAGGACTGTGTGGAGAGAAGTCAACATGTAGATTCAAAGGAGGAGGGGCCCAAGTCAGCCATGGGCACCAGAGATGCAGAGAAGATGAACAATGAAACAGACTCACAAGGACAAGAGTTAGGAGACAGGAAGAGATGGAGTGAGTTTTCTTCAACTTTCTCATTCTAACTGTATGTCCAATCAATTCCTGCCCTTAGTTTCTATGAGACACCACTAGATCTCATAATAATACATTCTTTTTTTTTTTTTTTTACCTCAACCTGGCCAGGAAGTAGTTTTTGTTACTTGCCACCTTAGTGTCCCAGTGAATTCAGTTGATATATCTTTTGGAGGTTTAGAAAATATTGGCCTGATCTCCCCCATTTGACTGCATGTTTTTCTTGGACCAGGCACTGAGCCTCCTGCTTTTGGATGATCCCATAGCCTGGTTCAGGGATCTCTCTTCAGCCTGTGCTGTGAACCGTCATGTGGGGAGGGATGGAATTGGGATTAAGACTAAGGGATTTCTCCCTGCATCTGAATCTCTCTGGGAACCATCTCAGCTCTTCTGAGCTTTCCAGCTTTCTTGGGGGAGGATTCAAAAACTATGCTCTACTTGACATTCTCACGCTTCTCGATAACAAGTTTGTATATGAGCATATTATATATAATTTTTAACTAGGACGTTGGTGGGAATCATCCAGCAGTTATCTTCTTATGACTTGTGTGCCAGCTGCCAATTATTGAAGCTTTGTTTTGAATGGATTTAGTTACACTATGTGTAGAAGCCAATTTTTCTTATTATAGTTCATATTTTAGAGTTTGACTTTTGATTTGCTTCAATCTTGGTATTTGGGGAAGTTGCACCCTTGGCTTTAAAAGAAAAGTTTTACAACCCTCTCATCCTGCTGTCACCCACTGACTTTTGACTGCTGTTCCCATTGTGATGGCTACATTTTCTTCAGTGTCATGGTGGGTTGGGACTCACAGATACTGACTTTTTTTGAACTAGGTTCTATATTTTAAAGCCATTCATTTTCTCTTTATTGAGAAGTCATGTTTAACATCTAGATTAGTAGCTATTGCCCTGACTGGTGTGGCTCAGCAGATTGAGTTCTGACCCATGAACCAAAGAGTCACTGGTTCACTTCCTAGTCAGGGCACATGCCTGGGTTGTGGGCCAGGTACCCAGTAGGGTGCACGCAAGAGGCCCCCTACTTGCATGTTTCTCTCTCTCTCCCTCCCTTCCCTTCTGTCTAAAAAGTCAATAAATAAAATTTTAACAAAATAAATCTATTTTTTATATTTAGTTCTTAAACTGTAGAATGCATCAAAATCACCTGAAGAGACCTTCTTAAAACATAGATTTCTGGATCCCACCACAGAGTTTCCAATATCTGGGGTAGATCTGAATAACTTGTATTTCTAATCTGTTC